GACCAGATAGTCTATATGCTTGTGATATTTTGTTAGGACCTCAAAGACCTTTGTGGGGGGAGTATACTTAACAACTGTTAATGACACATGAAGTTGATTTGATATCTTCATGGTGTTTTTATGCCATAAAGGAGATAAGCGTAACAGTAAACTGTTGGTCTTGCTTGATGATCAGAATACCTTCAAATAGTAATCAAAGGAAATGCTTTACATTATTGGGTCATTGGAAAAGTCTTGACACGTTTTTGCATAGGAAAATACAGAAAAATATGTCATGACTTTACTGATGACCCAATGAATTCCTCCCTGTAGCTCACAGTACCTTGGAAAAGTTCCAATGTACTATTCAAAAAGGAGAAATGATCACCATGGGACTATCCTGGGACTTTTGTCAGCTTGTGATCTTGAGGTGGGTCACTGGCAGTGCTCTGGCTTTGAAAGACTACAACAGGAACTTCCCAGAAAAGAGGAACAAAAAATGTTGTAGTCAGCCTTCTAGACTTTCTTTTTTAAAACAGTAGTAATAATGCTTATTAAAGATGCTAATAATGCCTAAAAGTATTAACAGTGAATAATTTAGGAGCTAGAAGGCATTTCTGAGGCACTCATGTTTCAAGATAAAGCTTATCTATGTGTTTTGCATATTATTAGAAGCCTGATCAACACTCTCTGTCTTGCTTGTTTCAAACACTTGACTGAGATTATTTAATGACTTTCTTGGTCCTTTTTGCTCCAGTGATGCATTAAGTTTCGTAACTATTACATGCTCATTAGTATGTGTGAATATATGCTTTTTCATCCCAGAATTGATACACATGCACTTTATACTATCTTTCTAGAAGGCTCAGCTCCTCTTTCCTCTGGATCATGGAATGTAGCATGACTGACCCCATGTTCCTTGATGTGCTTAAGAAACTCCTTGATCACATTCATGAAAACACTCACGCGATATTTTTAATTACTCACAGAACTTTTACCATGGAAGATGATAATTTTGAGAACTTCCTTTTACTCTCACACTGATATGTCACATGTATCTGTACAACTTCCCGTTGTGAGAGCCTCACACAGGCCTGGCTCTGGGCTGGCGTGTGGAGTAGGGACTCTGAGGCATGATTAAAACTGACTGGGGGTGGGGCCAGCAGTTAGTGTAATGACTATATCACTGGACTCCCATATAGTCAACTTTGGTTCGAGTCCTAGACCTGGTGACTTAAACTCACAGCAGGCGTGTGCACGTGTGTGTATGATCCCGAGAGGAGAAAAGGAGAAGGAATTCCGTGTGGCTATCCCCCTTGGGGGGAGTGATTTCTCACTTTCTATTTCTCTGTCTCTCTCTGTTTTTTGGTGAGCGCATGCACCCTATAGCAAAACCTCTCCCCCCCAAAAAAAAAAAAAAACTGACTGGGGGTTACCCCTGGTTGATTGGATTCACTGTTTCTGTAGGGTAGATAGTGAGCAATAGGATTAGACACAAAGGACAGCTATGGAGTTGAGAAATACGGGGTTAATCAAGAAGGAAACAGCTGATGAACATAGGAATGGGACAGGAAGCAGTCTTGGGTTGAGTCGGGATTGCTAGTCCCGATCCTTGTTTGAGTACTTGCTATTTGGTTACATGTATGGGCTGGCTGAGTGACAGCAGAAACAAAACCAAAATGTTGTGACCTAGTGGATAAATCTAACTTGCCACAGTGGCTACTGCAAACTTTACAGATGCACTGAGAAACGCCTTGAAACAAGTAGTTCATTTCTCTTACAGAAAGTTGGAATGTGTCAGTTCAGTGGATATACAGATTTTAGTATAGCCATTTTGTAGTCTCATTGTTGAGCTTGCTACAACATCTGTATTTAGGGATTTATCTTTCTTGATTTTCTGTGTTTCAGTAATATAAAATTGATAAGACTATACTGGAAAAAACTTCAAAATCAGAGCTACTAACTTTAGTTTCCAATTCTTTTTTTTTTTGGAGAGGTTTTCGCTATAGGGCGCGTGCACTCGCCAGACAGACAGAGAGAGCCATAGAGACAGAAAGCGAGAAATCACCCCCCAGGGGCGAATGGTCACGCCACAATCCCTTCTCCATTCTCCTCTCAGGATCTTGGGCACGCACGCACATGCGCCTGGTGTGAGTTTTAAGCCACCAGGTCCGGGACGCGAACCGTGGTCGACTACGTGGGAGTCCAACAACATAGCCATTACACTAACAGCTCAAGCCCCTAGTTTCCAATTCTAAAGAGTCAGCTGAATTTTTCAATTTAGATCATAAAATATTAGAACTGAGAGGGAGTTTACCCCTTTTGATACTGTAGCAGATTCTTTATTAATTTGTTTTTCTGTTATTTCATTGAGCATTTATTGTGTGATAAACACTACTCTTGACAGGAGGATATCCTGAAATTAGATTTAGTGTATTAAATCTGAGCTTCTCGGAAGCAGTGAATTTGTTAGATTTTGATTGCATCAGGATTTGTTTGATAGCATGCGTAATAAACACAGGGATTTTTTAAGATTTTTTGCCAGAGGTAATGTGTGTTTGCCTGAGAGAGACAGAAAGGGGGGAAGTGAGAAATCACTCACCAGGGGGATAGCCACTCTCCAATCCTTTCTCCTTCTGGGATTATGAGCACACAAACACACACATGCCTGGCATGATTTTCAAGCCTCCTGGCTTGCTCTCAGGAACAGATAAGAATATCACTGGACAATCACTTTTGCTTTGCAGTAGGTCTTAGAAATTTAAGAAAGGTGATGACATGAAGCTTATATTGACTTACTTTCCTTATAGAGTGAATTTTCTTCTAGCATCATAGGGCCTAGGTGGTTGCATATCTTTGATAAAATTAGTTCCCTTTATATTATAGGGTATTTTTGCAATGTAAATATGTACACATTTAATTTTGCTTTCATTTAATTTATTTTTTATTTATCAAAATAAATTTTTTATAATTTTTAAATTTTATTTATAATATTTATCATTATTATTTTAATTTGACCAGAGAGAAAGGGAAAGTGAGAAAACAAGCTGCAAGATCCAGAACTCAAACCGCAGTCAGCCATGTGGGAGTCCAGTGCCTCAACTACCATGCTCCTTACTGGCTCTCAGAATAATCTTTTAACTTCAGTTTTTTAAATTCTTTCAAAAGAATTTTTTAGCTATGATTCTTCTACCTTTAACATTATGTGAGATTATATTTGGTCAAAAAATCTATTCCTTTTTTGTTTTCTTCATAATAAAAATATGGAAGTAAATTATTTTTACTAATTTAAAAGAAACAAATCAAGAAGTTTTAAGGTGAAGATCAAAATGCTTTTTGTGAATTTTATATTTGCAGCAATATTTTCATTTTTTTAACAAAGAGCTTTTTTGAAAATGTTAATCATTGTAACTATGTTCACTAATACATGTTTCTAAAAATATGTCTGCTTTCCAAATACCACAAATAGTTTAAGTTATTTTACTTTTAAGATAATTTTTCAAACAAGTCTTTGGTTAATTCTGAAAGTAATTCAAACTCAAAGTTAATAATCTATGACTTTAAAGTTTGCTAAATTTAAAAACATCACTTTTGGCTGTATTTTTGGTAGTTTAAAACTTGGCAATGAAAAGGACGTGCCTGGCATCATTTTCACTGAATTTGAAACCACAGTTAAGACTTTAACAAAGCATGAAATAACATGTTATAATCCAAAAGATCATTTTTGGTTTTGTGAGTATAGAAAATTTCCTGCTTTACTTTCTCTTTGGCCTACTCGACATTTTTATTTCATCATAAGTTCCAAATATACTGAAACAGTTTATGTGGGGTTTATATAACCCATGAGATTGGACCCTTGCTATCTTACGTGTCAAAGCATTTTGGTGTTTTGTTCCCTTCTAATCACCCCTCCCTCCACCAAATAAACTGTTTCTGAGAGTCGCTGAGGAAGGGATGGGCTGGGCAGTGATCAAACCACATGGGATATGATTTTGATAAATTGTTGGTGTTTTGTTCTTAACCATATTTGAAGGGTTCAACAGTACTACCTGTTGAAAGAAAGGAATGTGTTCATAAGTAGGTGAAGGAATTTAATTGAAAGAGAAAGTTGAAATAGAGAATTTGTAGATGATGAAAAGGAAAGAACATACACATGGGATCTTCAGTAAATTCATGGAAAATATGTATTATGAAAATGCATGGATTTCAAAGTTGGTTTTACACCAAAATAGATATATTTTTTTTAAGTTTTACTTTAATTTTTTAAATACTTGCTAGAAGGCATGTATACTTGCAGGAGAGGCAGAGAGAAGGGGAGAGAGAGGGAAAGTAAGAAATCATCCCCAAGGGGATGGCCACATCGCAATCCCTTAGTTCCCATTGTCCTTTTGGGATTTGGGGCACACATACACATGGACCCAGTATGTTTTTCAAACCACCAGGTCTAGAACTCAAACCGTACTCAATCCCTCTGCCATGTAGGATCCAGCTGCTTGATCACCACAGCAGTGGCTACACTCAAAATTTAATCCATTTTTTCCAAGAACTTTTTGATGTCCTCTCATACTTGGTCAAGTAAATGCAAGGAGAATCAGCAGCATAAACAAAGCCACATAGTTCCGTCTTATGATTCTGCTTCTACTCTGAGGTTTAATCTTTCTCTTCCCTACTTTGTTGTTTTTGCTTCTAGGCCTCTCTTTCCATTTTTTTTTTTTTTAATAAAAACTAATCTAGTCCGTTCTGGACTTTCCTCTATAGTCTTCAGTGCTCCAGCCTGCTCCACAATAGCGTACTGTCCCCTACAGATGCAGTCCTGCCCTGAATGCTCTCAGCCTTTCTGGCTGCTGGGCCTACTGCTTGCTGAATAAAGACAGAGGGTCTTTCTCTGAGATGTGTTCTAAAATGTGCTGGGCTGGCCTGCCCTGACTCTTCTTCTAATACCTAGGCTCTTTCCTTTCTGACTTGCGAGTATATGATCATTTGATTATTTCTTTCTTTCTTTCCTTTTTTTGTGCTGACAGAGAAAGAGATGACTTAATGTCTGCACTAGTTTCTGTCAGGAGCAGCTTGGCAGAAGTGCAGCAGAGAGAAGGAAGTGCTTATGAGCAGGTGAAACAAGCCGTGCAAATGACTGAGGAGGCCAACTTCGAAAAAACCAAGGCAAGTCTAATAAGATGGAAATAGCAGCATGGCAGAATCGCTCTTCTTTTTCTTCTGTGTATTTGTCTATTCTTCCATAATGAACCTGTTTTTTTTAGAACTATTTTATTTAACTTTATTTATTTATTTAATTTTAACCAGAGAGAGACAGAGTGAGCCAGTAAGCAAGAGTGAGAGAGAGAGAGAGAAAGTGAGAAAGCAAGCCACCAGGTCCAGAACTCAAACCGCAGTTGGCCATGTGGGAGTCCAGCATCCTTAGCCACCATGCCACCTGCCAGCCCCCCATAACCAAACTCTTTCTACACACCAAGTGAATACTAACCTGTTAATATTGACTTGTCTAAATTTAACAGACTTACTATTTGGAGAATTCTTATTCCTTTACAAACCCTCTTATTGTGTACAATTTGAGAGACTTGTATGTTTAATCTTTGTATTTGCTGATAATCCTCAATGCTGTGAAAACTGAGTGCCCAGAGTGACTAGTTTGTATATATTCTTGTTTGACTAAAAACAAATGCTTTTTCTCTACAGATGGGTAACATTGAGAATATCCAAAAATGCCAAAGATCATAATATATGTGTATTTTTTAACTTTATAAACATACTTTTCCTTGTTTGTGATGCAGCACGTGCACACATAGATGAGAGTGAGACGGAGAGAGAAACGAGCACCCTCCACTAGATCTGGTCATGTCATCATCCTCTTCCTCCTGCTTGGTGGATTTGGGGCATTCATGTGTGTGTGTCTGGCGAGTTTTAGGCTGATGAGCCCAAGGATTTCAAGTGCAATTGCCACATGGAATCAGCTTCTCTTAAGCAATGCATTAATGTTGTACTGTGGAGCCAGCTTTTAATATATTTGTTTTTTTTTTCAAATTATTTAATTTTATTTATTCATTCATTTATTTTAATTTGACTAGAGTGAGACACAGAGAGAAAAACAGACAGAGAGGGAGAATGAGAAAGCCACCAGGTCTGGGACTCGAACTGTGGTCAGTTATGTGGGAATGTCCAACACCTTAACCACCACACCACCTGCTGGTCCCCCCCATATGTGTATTTTATTAAGAGAAATATTTTTGCTATAGGGTGCAGGCGCTCACTACAGAGACACAGAGACAGAAAATGAGAAATTACTTGTAGAGGGGATGGCCACACCACAATCCCTTCTCCTCCATTCTCTTCTCAGAATATTGGGCACACATGCACATACACCTGGCATGACCTTCAAGCTGTTGGGTACAGGACTCAAACTGTGGTTGACCATGTGGGAGTCCAGTGATGTAACTATTATGCCATCTGCTGGTCCCTATATATTTGTTACTTAAAAACACTATTAGCTGTGAGTCTGGGTTCAGTGTAGGCTAAACAAAATATATTAACAATAGTGATAAGGACAATAGTAATTAATACTTACTGATCAGACAGTGTTCAATGCACTTTGAATAATAATAATAATAATAATAATAATAATACTGTGGGGGCCAGAAGGAGGTTAGTGGTTATGGCACTGGACCTCCCACATGGCCAACCATGATTTGAGTGCCAGACCTGGCAGCTTGCTTTCTCACTTTCCCTTTGTCGCTCTTTCTTTCTCTCTGTCTCTAGTGAGTGCATGTGCCCTGTAGCAAATTAAAAAATAATAATGTTAAATAGAATTAAATAAATTATTCTTTAAAAAAATAGTAATTATATGGTTGATTTATTGCTGTGTCTAACAGCCACCCGGTAATCTGTTAAAGCTGCTGTGTATTCTTTTCTAGGTGCACTAGCCGCATTTTTAGTGCTTAAGAGTCACATGTAGCTATTAATTACCATATTGGACACTGGAGATATTGAATATTTTCATTATCACTAAAAGATCTATTAGATAGCACTGCCTAAACCGTGAAGTATAATCAGTGTTTTATTAAAAAAATATTGGAGCCATTCAATTTTTTTTTTTTTTTTTTTTTTTTTTTTTAAAAAACTTGTGTACTGGAACTGCCAGATGG